TTAATAGTGGTGTAAGTAGTAAGTACAAGAAATTTCTGTTGATTTAAAAATGAAGTAAAAAAATTAGATAGTTTTCGGCAACTTAAGTCCAATTTTTTTCTTAAATTCTAATTTCTTTTTAATCTCCTAATTATTCAAAGTCCCAAATCAAGAAAAAAATAAACTTTTCTTTCTACTGATAACAGATTTGCTCATTTCAAATGAAACAAAAAATGTTTTTCCTGCATTTTTGGCGTAAAATGAAAAACAATTTTTTTTCTCTCGTAAATGCAATTCGGGGACATACTGTAGATAGAATTTTTAAAAATGATACAGCTGATAACACTTAAATACCTAAACAAATTCAAAATGTAATTTAAAATTAAATTTTGAAGTCAAAGAAGAAGCGATGGTAATTATTAGGATTTTGCTAGATTAATTAGAACTGCTCACAAAGAAGTCCAATGTTTTTTTCAAATTAAAAAAAACTAAATCCTTAGAAAAATATTGAATTTTCTCTTGGAAAATCGAAATTTTTACCTTGGAAACTGGTACGTAGGGAACAGTCTGTGGTTTCATAATTTGTTTATACAGTGCAGCAGGATTTACTTGTCCTTCAGGAGTATTCATGGATTCATAATCCTGATACAGTCTTTCCAACTGTCTTACTTGCTCTTGAATATCAGCTAAATTCCTCTGAGCCAATTTACAATCTTCTTTCAATTTATTAAGCTTAACAGATTTTTCTTTTGCAACTACAATAATAGACAATTAAGAACACTGCAAGAATTTACAAAAACATTTACAAGATTCAGCCTTTGCAGTATTTTTAACAGAACTTTTCGATTTTGCTTTACAAACACACGCACTTGAAGTCTTGGCCACAACAGCTTCCGTTGCTGATGTTTTCGGAGTCGCAGGAGTTGACGTCTTTGAAGTACTTTCAACAACTGCTAGTTGTCTTGAGGTTTTCGCTTCGAGGGATTTAGAAATGGGACACGGCGCTATTTCTTCTTGAATTCCCTCGGCTGGTTGCAGTTTTGCCACTTCAATTGTGTGTTTTAGACTATTCACCAGACTCGCTGATGCTGTTATAAAAGTGGTCAAGTTTTGGAGCAAATCCACCCAACTTTCGTCATCTTGGTCTGGGGGATCGCCGGGGTTCGGAGCACTTTGAATTTGTGACATGAGTTACTGGAATTTTGACATCTTCTCCGAAAATTTTTCATTTGACGTAATGTTTTCAAAACATTCCTGATTCGAGAATATTTTAGGAGAAACAGTATCATAACTAAGGCTCAGAAAAAAATGAGCATATACAGGGTGTTTCACATAACTTTACATATTCCGATACGAACTCGATTACAAATTTTGAAAAATTGGATAATCTTTACTAGTTTTTCACCCTTTAAAAAATTGCAACGTTTTTTGTTAGTTAGAGATTAAGATAGATAAATGATAATTGTTTCTAAAAGAGAAGAAAAGAGAAAGAGAAAGAAAAAGAAAAAAAAAGAGAAAGAGAAAGAGAAAGAGAAAGAGAAAGAGAAAGAGAAAGAGAAAGAGAAAGAGAAAGAGAAAGAGAAAGAGAAAGAGAAAGAGAAAGANAGAAAGAGAAAGAGAAAGAGAAAGAGAAAGAGAAAGAGAAAGAGAAAGAGAAAGAGAAAGAGAAAGAGAAAGAGAAAGAGAAAGAGAAAGAGAAATAGAAATAAAAATGTGATGTTTTATCAAAAATAAACTTTTTCAAAATTTTCTTTTGTTTTTAATTTCTAGAAAAATATATTTTTTTAAAATGACAACCCACTAAAAAACACTACTCTATATTCTTTTTTTTTAGTATTTTTTACATATATTGCAATTTTGACAAAAAAAATGCATAACTCAAAAACAAAACTTTTTATTTCGAAGTTATGAGGGTTTAAAGTTTGCACTTTGACTCTATTTATTTCTGTTGGAAAAATAATTTTCCAAGTTTTTTTACTATAGGCTATTAAAAGAGGAAACAAGGAAGCTGTATCCTAAATTGTAACTCTGTTCAATGTTATTTGTGGCTTTTATTAGCAAAATTTTTGTAGCTTTACTAAATAATTGTAAAAAAAACATATACAAGATCATCAGTATCCTTAAATAGATATAAAAAAATGTCAAATGTCAAAAAATACATGTCAAATTTTTTTGACAGATAGAATTTTTTAAACATTTTTTCAAGTATCTGGTATCTTACCTTACTTGAAAATTTTCTCTGGGGCGCGAGTTCTGGCGCGCCATGTATATTGCAATTTTGACAAAAAAAATGCATAACTCAAAAACAAAACTATTTTTTTTTCTCAAAATACGATCACATTTTTATATTACTTTAATTTATATTAAGTATTATTTTCTAGAGGCAAATGATTAAAAAAAACGCTTAGTTCCATACTTTATATTCACCCTGTATAAAACGAATTCAAAAAGAAAACACTCAGCAGGATACATATTTTGTAATTGTTTTTTTTTTTCTTAAACTGTTTAATTTTTAACTTGAACTGAAAATTTTAATCAGAAATTTGTGATTTGAGGAAAATATGCACAAATATGCAATAATTCTTAAAATATGGACGAAGTTGCCAAAATATGCATTTTTTAATTGGCCTATTATATCAAAAAACATTAGATATGCATAGAAAACTTTTAATTTTGTTGATATACATCTTAATAACAAATATGCATTTTGCATATAATCCAAGTCTAAATTATAACGTTACAAAAAAAGAAAACAATTTCTTTCTTCTTCTTCAATTTGAAATTCAAGTGTGCTTTTTGTAATTCGTACAATTCTATCCAATTTGCAATAAAAATTAAATAATAGGTTTAATCATTGCTTTTATTGCTTAAATAATGTCTGGATTACAGCAAAATTTGCTTTTCTGTATTTGCAGCAAACAAAAATTATTTTTGAGAAATATTTTTTTTGGATTGACAGTAATATAAAGTCTGTCCAATAGCCCAAAATCGTAAATTTGTCAAAATGGTAAATTCCGGCGTCACACTCCAAAGAAAACTGTAATTAGTGAAATTTGAAAATTAAATTAAATGTGACAATTGTTGACATATTTAATCAAATATTGATCTGTCACACAACCAATTTATTTTTTCAGCTTCAGAAACGTAGTATCAATTATAACATTGTTTCAGACAAGTATCCAAACTTGCTGTGTTCCAAATTGTAAACAAGGTTAGAAAAAGGAGAACTCTCAAGGGGTTTTGTCAAAGCAAAAAAATTGTAGAGAAAATAAAACTAATACTTGTGTTTTTTATTCGAAGTATTTAAGAAATAATAAAGAGTTATTGTAATTTTCTTCTAAATTTGTAAAGATTTCAAATAACTATCTAACCTTTTTGTTAATAAATAAAATTATATTTGTGTATAAATTGTTATAATTTTTGTTGTTTTTAGTCTAGTTCTTAGAAAACATTACAATCAACAAAAAATTATTATACAACCCATAAAACACAAAACTAAATTTTTGTATACATTTTCAAACCAAAGTATACAGCTCCCCCAACGGCAATTTTATTGACATTGGATAGACTTTTTATCAATAAACACAGACAACGATCCTAACATTACAAAAAAAAAAAAGAAAACAAGCACATCGAAATTCTCTTATTCATGGAATCTTCAATTTAAAATTCAAGTATTTTGTATTTGTTATTTTTGTAATTTGTACAATTGTATTCAATTTTCAATAAAAAAACAAGTTTAATCTTAAATAATAAGTCTTGATTACAGCAACATTTCTGTATTAATACTTGTTTCTGTATTTGCAGCCAAATTTATTTTTAAGAAACATTTGTTTGTTTTGACATTGACCCATTGACGTTTTTACAATAGAATTACATTCATACGTGAAATTTAAGTAGGTGTTAACGTAGTCAAATTCAAAAAAGTGGTCGTCAATGTCATTTCAAAAATTAATAAATAAAAAATATATTTTACATTTTGACAACAAAATTGATTTGATTTTTGTCATAATTAATTTTATGCCAAAACTTTTTGTGATAGTCAACAAATTTCTTAGGCATAAAATGTGTTGAAAGATTTCTGAAACAAGTTTGATTGACTGATGCATTCCAAAAAGACGTAAAACTTGCTGTCTGCACTTAACTGCGATTCTACGTCACGCAAATTCTGCCGTAACTTGGAAATTATTTTTAGAATAACGTAAATATGAGATTTTCGACGACCGAGAGCTATGAGAACACTGCGAGCCAGAGTGGTGTTCACTTCGTCAAAAATTGTGTTTAAACTATGAACACGAAAACAACAAGACGAAAAAAATCGTCGCTTACTGAAGTCAAAGTTGCAGTAATTGGTGCACCTGGTGTTGGGAAAAGTGGTAAGGACTTAAAATAAATCCACAATTTTTTTAAAATTTTTTCTAAAAATTGTTTGGGTGCAAAATGCAAGATTTTGTGTTTTTGTGAGAGTTTCAATTGTTAAATAATATTCTATTGTATGCTGTAAAAATTAAACTTCCCACATTTGATTGTTTTAAACTTGTTATTTTGAAGAATGTTTTATAAACATTTTTTAAATAAATATTTGCTTCTATTCAGATAGACACAAAACCTCTTTAGAAACTCAAAAAAATATTTTTTGTAAGTTTCTAAGCTTTTAACATTTTCAGATGAACCAAATTTTAAAACAAAACTTCAAATTGGTGGTAAAAAAATTGAAATAATTTCAAGTAAATCGAATTTTTTTTAATTTCATAAATTTCAAATTTTTATAAAAACAAGCACCTATTTTTTCACAATCCTTTTACACACCTTAAATACTTAAATAAATGATAAATAATTGAGATAAAAATCATCAGCGCCCGGTATTTTTACTATTTGATGCAAAAGTCTATAATTTTATTAATTAATTTGTTTTAGTCAGAAAAAAATAAGCTATTTTTTATAAAGTTTATAATCAGAATTGTGACAACTTGACCAATGCGATAAGATTGCTTTATTTTCTTTCTAGAACACCCTGTAAAAATTATAAAAAGAATAATGTAATAACACCCTCCAAAATAAACTAATTAAACACTTTAATCGACTAATTGTCATTAATTTATAATTTAAATTCAAAAAAATTACAATTAATAATTTAATTCTTTTCATTATAATACTTTCAATTCAATTCAAGAAACAGTATTAAAATTAAAGTTTAAAACATTAAAATACATAAAAAAACATCAGACTTGTTTAATAAACTGTAGAAAATAAAGTTTTATTGACATTTTTTTGTGTACAGGGTGATTAATCTAAAACTCCAAATTTGACAAAGTTGGAATACAACAAATTGTCAGATTCTCGAATGAATTAAATAAAATCTGAATTTTAATTTAGTATTTTGTGGGTTGGTTGTTTTTCAAAAAATTGAAATGTTGACTCTAAAATTTATCTAATTTATTAGAACATTTTACTGTTTATAGCATTTTCCTGTGGAGATAAACGTCATAAAATTTGAAAGTAGTGTTGAAATTTGCGTAAATAAATCACCCACGTAAAACGCAAAATTGAAATGATTTTAGAAAAAATCCTGATTTGATTACTTTATTAAAAAGATAAAAACAAACAACTGTAAATCAATCAGATCGTCTAAAAATATTTGTGTTTAAAAGAATTTTCCAATATTATTAATATCTATGCAGATAAATAGAAGAAATTATTATTTACTAAATCAGAGTTTGTTTTTATTCGACTTATTTTTAAAAGCAAACAAGGATGTGTTATCTTTTATCGAAAAATTCTGATTCTGAACAATGAATCTTTCTACCCGGATTCTATTTTTATAAGCACGAGTAACCTTTGTGTTTCAAGAGATGAAAAAAGTGTGTTAGTAGGTCTTGTATAATTTTAAATACATGAAGTGCATGTTGTGTGCTCCTCTCAATTTAGAATCTAAATGTTAAAAGCTTATTTTTCGGTATAAAATAAACCAAAAATGTTATTTTAATAAAAAACAGTGTAATTACTTTATTTTTTGGATTAATTAATTAGACCTTCGATTGATTTATGTATTATGCATCAGATACGTAAATATACACAGAAATGTGTGTTTTATAAATAGGAAATGAAATTAAAGTAAGGCTAAATGAAAACGTCAAAAAATTGGAGCACCCGGTTGTTTTAGCTGAATCAAAAATAAATAGACGAGTTACTTTAGAATAAAAGAAATTTGATTGTAAGAAAAATACTGAAAACTTTGGATTCGGTTTACTGCTGTAATAAACCTTATAAATAGAACGTGGTAGGTAAATAAAACCAGGTGGAGTATGCGAAAGTACCAAACCAATTAATAACAAAAAATAGAACTGTTTTCTTTAGAAATGAAGTTGAAATATTCGTCTAAATGAATATTTCTAGTTACGACTACTTTTAGCCCAAGTTGGATTAAGAAAATAAGTTTTTCTGAAGTAATAGTATTTTGCATTCAAGCTGAGAAGTATGATTTATTTTTTTTTATATTATTCGATATAGAATAGTCAGTTGGTAATTTTTTTAGATAAAAAAAATAAAGAAACACAAACCGAAAAAAAATTAAAATTAGTAATTACTACAACTCTTTTTTCTTCTTCAAGATCTGTTTCAAATCAATGCAGAAAATTGTCTTTTAAAAACAATGCTGAACAAAAACACGATTAGCCCGTCACACCAAACTTTTATTTTAATAGCACAACGCGTTTCGACCACAAAGTGGTCATCCTCAGGTGAGAATAAAACTAAAAACGGGCTAATCGTGTTTTTGTTCATCGTTTCCATACCAAGAAGATCCAAGAAGAAGAATAAAAACAATGCGTCAATATTACACACGCAATTTGTTAAAAACACATGGCACGGGAAAAACTTTACACATTTTACTTTTCTACTTTTAAATAATTCACAACTGTTATCCAATTTTTAGTTGTTTTTTATTTCATGACAATTAATATCAATTAAATAATTTAGAATTTTGAATACGAAAGTACCAAACCAATTAATAACAAAAAATAGAACTGTTTTCTATAGAAATGAAGTTGAAATATTTTTCTAAATGAATATTTCTAGTTACGACTACTTTTAGCCCAAGTTGGATTAAGAAAATTAATTTTTCTGAAGTAATAGTATATTGCATACGAGCAGAGAAGTATAAGATTTATTCTTTATTCTAGAAGTGGTTAGAAAAATTAAGATTAGTAATTACTACAACTCTTTTTTCTTCTTCAAAATGTGTTTCAAGTCAATGCAGAAAACTGCATTTTAGAAACGATGCGTCAATATTACACACGCAATTTGTTAAAAACACATGGCACATAAAAAACTTTTACTTTTCTACTTTTAAATAATTCACGACCGTTTGTTATCCAATTTTTTAGTTTTTTATTTCATGACAATTAATATCAATTTAAAAAAATAAGAAAATGTTATTTTAAAATATTTATACGTACCTATGAGAGAAAAAGTTCTAATACTTTACTTGTCAAAATTAATGAGTTTTAGACACATAAATTCATAAATTTCTTCCCAACCAAGAGATGTAATAACAAATTTCCCGACCTCGAAAGTTAGAAATCGACAACTTTTAATAAATTTTACTTACTGATAACATTTTTATACATTTAATTAAATTGCCTCTGGTGTAAAACAATTTTTGCCTCGTATTTAACTTGATTTCTTTTAGACATCCGGTTTCACTGAAACGTTGCATAGTTTAATTTAGTTACTCCCTTCCTGTTCGACTTGATTTATTAATTTTTCGGGAAGAAATGTTATTATTAAAATGCAAATTTTCCGGAAACCAGTCCTAATAATAAAATAAAATTTAGTCAAACAATTTTGTCAAAACATGAAATAATTTGACAAATGTAGGTAGATTGATTTCATTCAAAGAGATACTTAATCATGTATGGTTTATTGCTACAACTCGATGCACAAACATAATTCACACTATAAAACATCAAATTTGTGCTGTTTTTAGAATCAAGATCACTCGACGAGGCTAGATTCAAAAACATAAGTTATTTTTATAGCAATGATTGAATGAAGTGAATTTATTTTCAGCTCTGTCAGTTCGATTCCTTACCAAGCGATATATTGGAGAGTATGACCATCAGTCAGGTAAAATACCAAAATCAAAAAAAATTTTTCACAATTTTTCTTATAGAAACTCGGTATAAACACGAAGTTTTAGTAGACGGCGAACCAGTCCTTTACGAAATTTTAGACACGTGTCCGAAGGTAAATCTTAATTAAAGGGTGATTTTTCTTCTAAATTCAGAAATTTGTTACAGAACGAAGATGATCTTCCTTCTAGCGAGATAACAAACTGGGCTGATGGTCTCCTTTTCGTTTACTCCATCACAAATCGCCGATCTTTCACTTATCTGAAACGTGTAGGAAGCTTGATAGCAGATTCTGACATTCCTGTTTACATAGTTGGTAATAAAAATGACATGGTTCATTTGAGGGAAGTTAGTGCAGAAGAGGGTGCAATGTTAGCTAGAGACTTTGAATGTGGATTTTCTGAAGTAACAGCTGCTGAACAAGTTGCTCCAGTTGCTGTTGTTTTTCAGGAAATATGTCGGGCGGTTTTGGCAGCTAGGAGAAAATCGAAACATTCACTCCTTGAACGAATGCTTGGATCACGAACTAGCAATTTGCGGTTGTATGTCAGAGGGAAAAGTGATAGTGCGTTACCAAAGGACTGATAATTGCATTGGTGCAAACCCCAAAATATCTCCTGAAACCTAGTTGTGAATTACTTATTAATTTAGATGAAGATTTTATTTTACTTGAGAAAAAATATTTTAGCTTCTTGAAGATGTAACTTTCATTTTCTGTGTTTTCACATGCTTTTTAAAGCCACACAGTATGTATTTTTTTTGTTTTGTTCAGTTTAAGATGAAAAACACATAATTTTTGGCTTTTATACACGGCTTTCATTTAAAAAGAGCCAGTCTCAATAACTTTTGACATTGAGTAAATGTATTTTCGACCAAAAACAGGTCGATTAGGATCGGGAGGGGAAGTTCAAAACCAACATTTGTTACATTTTAAGTTTCATCCCCTAGTCGCTAGCCACCCCTACTATAAAACTTTAAATGGCACTTCCTACTTTTTAAAACGTTTTCGTAAATAGAAAAAAATTAGCGTATCTAAATGTCAAATTTTTTTTTTGTCGATTTTTTTTTAGTTAGTGGTGATTTAATTCTTGAAATTTTTAGTCCTAGTAGTCTTTGAATTAACTCAATTTAAATAAAAAATATGTCAATTAGGAGAGTTCAAAACCAACATAAAAAACGTTTTAGGTTTCATCCCCTAGTCACTATCACCCTTACTTTAGAATTTTAAAAAGCACCCCCAACTTATTGAAACAATTTTGGGAAAGAGGGAAAAAGATTATCTAACCGTAAATAAAAAAAAATATTATGTCGATTTGTTTTTGAGTTAGGGGTAGTTATGTTTTTAAAATGTTTGGTCCTATTAGCCTTTGATTGCGATGGAAAACTAAAAATACTTTTTAGGTTCCATTCCCTAGCACGCCCTCACCTAAAAAAATATAACTCAAAAACGAAAACACAAAATATTATTTTTCATTTACGCTTAGATAAGCTTTTTCTCCTCTTTCCAAAAATGTTTCAAAAATTTGGGGGTGTTTTTTAAAATTTTAAAGTAAGGGTGGTTGGTGGTGGTGGTAGGGGATGAAACGTATTTTGGTTTTGAACTCTCCCATCGCAACCCAAATCGACATATTTTTTATTTAAATTAAATTGAGTTGAATCAAAGGCTACTAGAACTAAAAATTTCAAAAATTAAACCACCCTTAACTGAAAAACAAATCGACGAAAAAAATTTTCTTTGACAGTTACAAACGCTCACTTTTTCCCTTTTGAAATGAAAGCCCTGTATGCATGTTTTTGTTTTATTTTTTGTATCTTTATTTTACTTAATTTTTTTGCATACCAGGTGAATAAAAAGTATGAATACTTAAATTATTAATTTTTTAGGTAAACTAATTAATGAATGATAAAGTATAAAAAAGTAAAGTTTCACTAACTAAAATATTTTTTT